TTCCGTCGCTGGGAACCAACACTCTCGGGTCTTCCGTCGCTGGGACTCAACACTCTTGGGTCTATATCAATATAAACACGTTTCCTTGGTCATGGTTTTACAGCGGACGGCGCAAAAGAAGAAGAGGGTGATGAGGGTGAGCCGGCTGATGATGCTATCGCGGAGGAGGGCTGAAGCTTCGAGCGCGTTTGACTGACAACACGGCGGCCCGAAAAAAGCTTCTGTATCACTTGCTGTATCTGAAGCCCGGCCCGTTGTCATCTAAACCCAACATTGACTTTCAAGCACTGCTCTCCGAGTCCACAGGCTTTACTTGCTGACAAAGCGACAGGGACAGGGACAGAGACTGTGAGTGACTGACAAAACCTTTATTATTTTGACTGCGAGTATGTGAGTGAGTGAGCTAGGGAGTTTCGTTGAAATAGAAGTAATTGGAGCGATTCTTTCAGAATTCTCATGCATCGGATCCAGTCTTGGAGATTTCCACACGACGAATAATTTCATACAGTATATTCACGTTGAGAACAGAAGAATTGAGACATGAGTGGACTCCACTTCTCGTGATGAGTAGTTTTGCAAACGTCGCGGGTTTGAATGAAAAGACCGTCGCCATCGTCCCCATTTCTCCGTCTGCCACTCATATGTGTGTATGTACGTGTGTGTGTGTGTGCATGCGTGCATGCATGTCAGGCATGCATGTCTGCCTAGATGTGCCAATATATGTATGCATGTAAATGTCTGTACACGTGTGTGTGTGTGTACATATGTATCATGTACGTATGCAGGCGCGCATGCATGTACATACTGTCATGGTCATGGTCATGGTCATTACTGCAAGCCCGCCGCACGCATTTCTCTATGTAGTTTTAGCAGCCTAAACCTTAAACGCACAAGTAGCCTAAGCCCTAAATCCCTAAGCCTAAACCTTTTTTTGAACGAGGTCTCTCTGAAGTGCCTCCAAGCTAGACCCTAAACCCATTAGCAGCCTAAACACTATACTGCCCCCACAATAAACCCTATAGCACCCCTATTGGTAGCCTAAACCCTAAACCCTGTAGTACCCTTAAAGTAGCCTAAACCCTAACCCCTGTAGTAGCCTAGACCCTATAGTATCCCTATAGTAGCCTGAACCCTAAACCGAAAAGTACCCTTATAGCCTTATAGTAGCCTAAGCCCTAAGCCCTATAGCACCCTTATACTAGCACAAACCCTAAACCCTATAGTACCCTTATAGTAGCCTATAGTACCTTTATTGTAGCCTAAACCCTAAACCCCATAGTAGGTTTGTAAAGGGCTTTGGGAATGCCGCATCCTGAACCCTCGAAGAGTTGGCTTCCGTAAGCTTAGGGTTAAACGATACTTTTTAAGTAAGTTGTGCGCTGCACCCACCACGCACACCGACACTGCAACCCAAGACACCGCACCCCATACCCTCCGGTGACCCTGAAGGCTCATGACCCAAGCCCAAGAAGGAGAAGGACTGATGGTTTTGTGAAGTTGAAGGCGCCAAATGCTGCCAGGTGAGCCCACCTGCTGGAGCCAAAAAAAGGCCGCAGCGGAGAGTTTGCCAGCTTGGGGTTTGAGAAATGTTACAGCTTCATGGGCAGTGCCCTTCCCCCCCTTCACCACCCCCAACCCCTCGGACATCATGAGCATCAGCGGGGACCCGTTTCTCCATGAAAGCGTGTTATGGTGCACCCTTTAAAACGAGCCCGCCAGAGCCAAAAAAGGAGGCAGGCGGCCACGCCCCAAATTGCCTCCCTAGCATGGGGATTAGTTGGCCACTTCAGAGGGCCCCCCACCCCCCACACCCCCTAAACCTTCTGGCAGAACAAGTTCTGAGTATTGAATCGAAAAAGCTCTCTGGGGGAGAGCTTTCCTGACTACCGGGGAGCACACGATCCAAGGAAGTCTCATCGCTAGGCCAAGTCTCAACGGCTGTTGTAGCCTGAGTAACAACCACAGACCGAATGGCTGCAGCAGTTTGGCGATCACACTTTCGTGGAGCCAAGACATCGACTTGCCTCATAAAGGGAGATGCGGAGGGAGCAGGAAGGCGAGAAAAGTCCCTCTGGCTGTCTCGAAAGATCTCTCATGAACCAAGCGGACCCCCTCCTGTGCATTTAGAGGTGCGCAGTCGAGCTCATTGCCTTGCAGCTTACCTAGAGCACTCTTCTACTGGTCTTCTTCTTCTCTACCTTACATGCCCTTGTCAACATGACAATGTGACTGACACGATCGTTTGATGCTTCCAGCAGCACCTGGAGAGCTGGCACTTTGAATCTGATAGGCATTCTTGAGCTACAGTCCGATGGCTTCAACTTTCTGTTGCTCGACTTGTGGCAAGTCAACTTTATTTAATCTTGTTGCTGGGCGGTTCCTGGGTGCCCAGCACGTGGGGATGTCTTTTAGACATCAAGGTTGGCCTTTACATACAGCAACGCAGGCTCCTTCACAGACCCGAACTCGATGAGGCAGAAGCCACGAGGCTCCCCAGTTTCACGGTGGTGTGGAATCTGTACAAGCTTCACCTGCTGGTCAGCACACGGACAACATAGCCGTCGAAGTGCTATCAAGGTGCGAAGTAACGGATCATTTAGACCTACCTCCCCGTGCCGAGAGAAGATCTTCTCAATGTCACGGATGCCGAAGGTTATTGGCAAACCTGTGGAAAGGTGTGGACATGCCACTAACCAAATATGTCTGACTCCAGTGAGATCTCCCCCGTACCCCCTACAACAGGTCCGGGCAGTTTTCGCGATGTCTACTGCCGAATAGTACCGCGTTCCAGGCATGGGCTAAGCTCTCCCCAGCGGGGGAACAACTTACGACCAACATACCACTCTCTCCGAGAAGAGCCAAATCTATGCCTTGTGCTTCTGTGCCTGTTAACCTGAACCGAAAAAGGTTGCATGCTAAGGAAGCGCAGGCTACAGTCCGCTGCTGAAGCATTCTCGCTCTGTGAGTTTATTCCGTGCCTGCTGCCGTGAATATCCGCTATTATCCACTGTTGCATGATCTCGGTCTTTGTATGAGCTATATTACCTACATGGCTAGGACCTTCCGGATTGGGAGTGCCCACGTCTACGGCACAAGTCACTCTCCGGAGGGCACGATCCTACAGTTCAGGTCATCAGAGTCTTGCTCAGGTCTGACTTGCTTCAGGAACTATCACAACCGTAAAACACATCGGCACCACGATTCGCCTTCCGCATAGAGCGTCCTGCATACTGGATCGTGTGTATTCGGTGGGAACTTGATGTAATCTCGCCTCCGGCGCAAATCGGAGAGGAGACAAGGTCGCTTGCTGACAAGCCACTCTTTACTGCACTTAGCCTTAGAAGATCATAGAAGCTTTAGTCTCGCCTCACTTTGGTGCAGTCGGCATTGAGCTCCAAGAGCTGAGACGAACGAGCTGCATCGACGAGCTGGTCGATATCACTGACACCCAAGGCCTCTGAGGAAGCCACGGGACAGAGTCAAGCCGATTGTAATGCGCATGGCTTGGATCTATGGGGCCTTGATGCGGTTGAAGGTCAGCAGCAGCTTCAAGTCCAAATAACCATCATCATTTTCAAGCGTCTGCTTCAGGAAACGGTCGCGACGCAGGTTCGAATCGCTGAAATAAAAGTCCTTACTCATGCATCTTCTCTCACAGAAATGGATTCGAAGGTTCGTTCCAAGCCGAAAAAAGACATGTCAAGACTCCATTTGCCTTCTCACTTTCTCAACCGAGCAGGTCTCCTCCTCCTTGCCTCAGCTCCGCTTTGAAGGGAAAGCAGTCTGTCTGCGGCAAAGGATGGGAAGCCGGCCCTCGAGAAGCTGCTTCTCCACCTCTTTTGCTCTGTCCTTCTTCGGACGGCGCTTTTGAGCCTGTCTGGCACCACCCTTTGCACCACCCTCCTGGCAAACGAGCGGTTGGCGACAGGACAACAATGGCCATGCAGGAGACACTACGCTGTCGGTCCTGTTTGGGCCGACCCTGTGAAGAAGCCCGCTCCTGAGGCAAGCAAAACGTCTGTGACCTCTCCCCATGGGTGCGAGAACTCTCGGCCTTGCTTGCTTCCACACTGGGTGGGGCTTCGCTCGCATTGCTTTTGCGGCGCTTGTGGCGGTTTCGCTTTGCCATGAAAGGCGCAGGATCAAAGGAACCTTTAGCACCTAGGGCAACTGCCCAAAAATCTGCTGAATCTCCTGCGAGTGAGGTCTTTTAACTTCTGGCGGAAATGGGCAAGCAGAGCCTTGAATCAAAGATTCCTCTGCTATCAGTCAGAGTCGGTATCGTGTGGGTGCGAAGAGCAGCGCCTGATAGCTCATACAAGTGGGCCCACCGTCTGGGGAAGCTTTGAGCCATTGGAGCCGCAGCTCCACAGGAAGACTCAAAATTCGTGTCTTCCCAGTAAGCCTTGCCCTGAGCAGATGCAAGAATCATGCAGGGTCAGCATTGCTGAGCTGATCTCGGTTCTTGTCCAAGAAGGAATCCGTGCAGTAGCTGACAGGTCCAGCCTGCCGACAGCACTGGAACACCTCGATGCTAGAAGACAGAACATTGAAGCTGAACTTGTGACATCAACCATGACAGAGCGACGAAGTGCTTGATGACAAACCTGATCTTGCGCAGGTATGTACACTGGACAGAAGGACGGAACAAACAGCTCGGCTGGCAGAAGCTGCACTTCTTACCAAGGCTCCAGGTGGGTTTTGTCTTGATCTCGTCGAACCTGCGGTGGCCTGAACTTATTGCATCGCTCTGGCACACCCTTGCCCCACCAAGCCTTTTGCTTACAAGCCAAGCCGAAGCTTCACTGCCGAGCCTTTATGCTGTTTGATCAACTTGTTGCAGTAGCCTGCTGCAGTCGACTCTTGCAGGAGTGCCGTGACCATGCTGCATGTCGCGGAAGTCATCGGCATCGAAAGCCAATTCTTGTACAGCTCCTGTAGCACATCTTTTTGACTTCGTATCACGCCGCATAGATGCCACGTCCCACTACAAGACTTGACTGTATCGTATTCCTGCAAGATGCAAAGCCAATGATCAGGAGTAGCGAATCGATCCTAAAATCTCCAACAGCTAGAGGCAGAACCTCTGCACTGCATATCTGCACAAAATCCGTCAAGTCCAGTCGCTCGCAGAAGTTATCCACAAGCTCGGTTTAACTTCCGGGCCCTCCCGTTTCAGCATTAGCTTGTGAACAGCTCGAGTAAACATGTTTTCATGTTTTGGCTGTTTTGGCATGGGCATAGCTCAGATTCAACTGCCACGTGAAACATTGGAGGGCCTCCTGACGTACTTTCTTGCCCTCTGACGACTCGCTAGGCAGAGTTGCACGAATGGGCCCGCAAGTTTCTTGCCAACTTGGCTGCCCTGCCACCAGTCTAAGCAAACACTGTCCAAAGCCCTCAGGCCATCAGAATGCCGCATCAAGTGGCCGATTGAAGCCACCACGACGGTTCATGTACTGACGGTACTGGCCTTGATACCACAATCGGTGACAAGTGGACTTCGCGCGTGACGCAAGCGCTGTCAAGTCACGCTTTGTGGCCCGCTTGACATCGCTGAGGTCGCTGGTGCCTGAAGCATGTCTATGCAAGTACCATGGATGCAGGAATTTGTCGTTGCCCATGGTCGCACAGTGTGCCGAGATCCTGACTGTGGTCTCTGCCTTTGGAGCTATCAAAGGCACTGAACCCCATCATCTTTGACAACATCTGATCCTGCGGGCACTGCTGGCACTGCTGGCTTGTCTAGGCCACACCGTCTTTACCGAAGTAGGATCAAAGCTCGAGTGGTCTAAGGACCGGAGACGGATGGAGCCACTCTAAAAGCGCTGCTTCCTCGGGCATGTCCGTGCTGAGCAAGAACTCCTTCATTTCCTGATGCGACGAATTTCAAGTACCGCATAATCCATCTGAACACTGCAGGCGCCACACTTCAGGTGTCTCTCGCCTCCTCGTCATCCGACGATTTTGACTCTGAATCTTCCGACTCAGAGCCTGATTGCAAGTCTCTGAGGCGGCTGCAGCTTAATACCGAGGTGCCGTCCAAGGCACGGCCACGCTTCGGGGGTGGCTTCCGCTCGGCCGAACGTTCCTTGCGCCTCTCTTTGCTGCGACCGCGGCTGCGACCACGCTCCTGCGAGGATGCTTTGCATTGCCCAACAAGGCAGGCAGCTGCAAGGCAAATCCTTCCGTTTGTCATCTTTCCGCGTCTTCTTCTCCTTGCGACGAATCCAAGCTAGCACCGATGCGAGTCTATTGTCGCAGCGAAGACAAGCTGAGACCGCCTTGGCACGGCGATCGCTCTCCGAGCTTTCTGAAGAGTCACGACCTTTGCGTCCCATCTCTGGGCGAAGTCACCTGATGTCCAGCAACACAGATATGGCTGATGCACTCAAAGACGATGCTCACGTGGATGTGTACATGTGTCGAAACATGACCTCTAATGGTTCCTCCGAGAAGGAAAGAACATGTATGTATTCTCAAGTCACTGTTTTGTTTTGGAGCTCTGTGAAAAGCTGTCCTCCATCTGGGACAGGAACTGGTCAGGGCCTGATATCCTCGAATAGTCCACACGCTTGGTTGCTCACAGGACTCCTCACAAGTGTCACCAACGGAACTGTTGAGCTCGAGCTGGGGACTTTGTGCCTTTGCTTCACCTTGTTAAGGCTCCGTCAGAAGTGATGATCAAGTCGATATTACATGGTGGAACCAACATCCGGTTATAGCAAACTGCTATCGGCTCATTCCATGAAACTGGACGGTTTGTGGCAGTTCCCGAGAGAAAAGTTCCCAACGGTTAGCCGGGCACCCGAATTTGTTGAAAAAGTGTGCTTCAAGCTATGCCTTGGCAGCGATGGCTTGAACAGAAACGCGGCCTGTCGCCACTCTGAGCCTCAAGTGGCTGCGGCGGCCGCAAGCATCTGAATTTGAATCGGCCCCGCACCCTTGCATGTGCAACAAATTCGATCACAAACATCCGGAAGGACTGTGACAGTCGGGCCTTGATCGGACCCGTTTGGCACAAGGCACTCTTCATCCAACATAGCCTAACTTGAGGCAACGGCATCGAAGCTGCGACTTAACAGTGCAAAAGGCAACCGTTTGTCAGAGGGCTGTGCGAAAACACCCGTTCCTTTCCCCGCCAGCAAGTCTACGGAGTCCTGAAGGAAACGTTCTGCCGGCCACTCATAGAGGATCCCGGAACACAGACCTGCCTGATTGTCTGGGAAATCCAGCGCATCCCATGGAATGTTCTCGCGCCTCAGTCGCCGAGTTCCCGTGTCTCCACACAGATCCAATTGATTGGGGCGTGGGAACTGCCGATAGAGCCTGGAAGGCTGATGCTTCAGCTGTTGCAGCACGGACGTGCTGACGATCTGAGTAAAACACGAGATTAGTCACAAGCTGCCGCACGAAGGAAAAGAACTCTGGCGCGAAAGCCCTGCTGCACCATCTCACGAATTCCAACCGGCAAAGATGCAGCAGCGCTTGTTTTGCTCTGGTTTCAACTGCTCTTCTTCTTGTTGTTCTTGATTTTGGGCGCTTGAGAGAAGTGGGCATGCAGACTCTTGCACCCGAGGTTCACAGGTCGGGCATCATGTCCTCAGCGGGCGACTACATCTTCATCAATTGCACAGATTCAATCGGAAGCTCCATTAAAAGTGCAGAGTAGAGTTGAGTAAAGCACGGCGAGAAAACAAATGTGCCACATGTGCCGCAGCGCTGCTAGGCCCCGCATCCCGCCCCCCTCCCCGACCCTTCCCCCCTGTGGTTCTTTGTGGTGTGGGTTCCGACGGCCCTTCCCCCTCCCCTTTTCCGCCCCTGCGGTTGTGGTTGTGGTTAAGGACAATGAAGCGTAGAGCTTCTTGCATGCTCGTATTCTGAGTAGGACTGTTTCTAGTTCCAGTGTTCTGATGCTGTTCTGGGCCTAGGTTCCGAATTTGGTTTTTTGTAGTTTTACATAGCAGCTTGCTTGGCTTGCCGCTTTCTCGTGTTTGGATCGGCCCGGCCATGGCAGCAGCACAAACTCAGGCAAAAACATGACTTAGAACAAAAGCAACAGCACAGCCATTAGACGAAAAGGCGAAGCATGGCAGCAGCAGGATAAAGACAGCAGCCAGTGGCACGATGCCAATCATGTCAATCATAAGATTAACGCTCAACTCATCATCATCGTCATCGTCATCGCCGTCGTC